CATGGGTGTCGTTTTGTATGGAACCTAAAGCGTTGCCGGCTCGAACTACTGTCGGCATTTCTTCACTGCTGGCGCTCACTTTTCAGGTTACCTCGATACTGCATTTTTTTCTAGCAGTAAAATTGCATACATTTCTTTAAATCATTATGAATCATCACTGATTTCAGTTTGGAAACATACTCAAGAATCTGCCTCGGGTATCCTATGTTAAAGGTTCGCTCGATAAGTTTTTATAAAAAGTAGAACACCAAAAAAAAAACGCATTTTAAGCTATGGATGTTTGGATGTTAGGCTGCATCTCTTTCGTCTTCGGTACTATGGTTGAGTTGGCTTTCGTATGTTACATTAGCCGATGTCAGAATAGCGTGAGAAGGTAAGCATTTTGAATTTCTCATTGAATCCATTCTTCAAAGAATCCAACGGCCTTGTCATGGTTTGTGACTAGGAATTGTTGATCGCCGAGAAAATAATAGTGGGACCTGGGAGAGTATCTGTGTGAACATCTAGATGTTATAAATCCGGCGTCTTTTCATAGCGAATGCCCATCTTTGGTCCTTAATGTGGATGGAACACTGGTTGCAAATAGGTAGGAAACATCCACAACAAGTCATGGAGTGACGAAGGTCAAGTGGCAGTAAGGGAAGATAGGTTACAAACAAGGGTGTGGAAGTAGGAAAATAGTTTGCAAAGTATCCTGTAGCGAAATGTAAAAAAGTGCATTGATAAAGTAGAGAGTTTTACAAGAGATTGAATTCTCGTAGGGAAAAGCAGAGATCTACTGAATCGCGAAAAGGAAAGCGAAATCTGCGGAGCATCTGTCAAATCAAAGATAAGCTAGGGGAGACGTTTAGAAAACCATAGGAAATAAGTGAGAGATAATGAACGGGCTTGAAAAAATATCTCCACTCTCAGCAACTGAGATAGTTTTACCATCAGCTGACCCACTGAAAGGACAGTGCCATTGTTGTGGAACTCCTTGATGGTGAATGGTTTATTCACACAAAGCTGAGAGGCCACCTGGCTCGAGTAGCGTCACGTACAGAA